CCATGGTGGTAACGTGGGTTACATTAGAGTCAACACAACTTTACCATCAGAAATATCAGCACTAAACTAAAACATGGTGACTGACCTCAATGTCTGTAGTTTGCAGAGGGGAGACTGGAGAAAACCACAGAGCTGCTTCACTCCAAAGTCTTTCAGGTTGTAGTTCCTGCTCAGGTCCAGTTCTGTCAGATGGGAGGGGTTGGACTTCAGAGCTGAGCCCAGAGAAGCACAGCTGATCTCTGAGAGACTGCAGTCATACAATCTGAATAAAGAATAAAAGACGTGTTGAAGCAACTGGAGAGACAGGTTAAAACTAAAATAATAAACATTAAGATAATGGAATATCTATTTGGATATGATATAGGAATTGTTTGGTAGAAATTAAATGTTTCATAAACCAGCTCTCATGAGGTGAAAGAACATAACGTTTATTAAGTATTGAGTGCAGAGACTGCTGAGCAGGGGCGGAGCTAGATGGGGGCCCAGGGGTGGCCATGCCCACCTTTAGCCAATCATTGGCCACCCCTGTGGCCCCGCTACCATTTCTTCCCCTCTAATACAGATGGTGGCAGCAGTAATACTCTCTAGTGGAATATTTAAAAAAATTTAAATGTTTCATATATAACTTACCATTTTTTCATGAATTTATAATTACTTTACAACAAAATACTATGGTTAATTATACACATCAATATACTAACATTAAAGATGATAAGTAGAGAATTCAGCCTCTTTTCAGAACTAGATTATGTGTTTTATAGGATAAAGAGAAAATTATTTGTCTCCGCATTCATCTAGGAGTCTTTAGTGAAATCAGAGATAAATTACTATTTTAATAAAAACTTAACTAATCAATTTAGACAATGTAGACATTAGTATTTGTAAATATCAACTTTATGCAGAATGATTATTGATAAAAGTAGGTAAGTAATGACAATGGAAAAGATGTTCGCCCCAGAACTCAAACATGAAAGTATTTTATCCACTATACCTTTAATCTAGAAAGCACGGATGTTTAAATATATGTGTCTATTTTTTTTTAGCAAAGGCTGTAGGAAAGTATAGTTTGTCTTATCTTTGGCTTGACCCTGAGGTTCTAGTGTATATCTGCTTTAGGCCACCCTTCAGTGTTCATTGGTTATTGCCTGGCTTCCCTTATAAAAATGTTCTGGCTGCGCCTCTGCAGCTGAGAGCAAAAAGGATGAAGAGAGAGCATCGACCTGCTGAGTGGAGCATGAGAGCTAGGTGCAAAGATGGATGACAGAGCAGAGTTTTTCCAAGTTTAAAGCACACCACACACCTATTGAAAAGCGTGTGGGAGGTTTAACACTATCATCAGATGGTAACGGTGCGCTGAAGATGGTGTCACAAAACAAATACAGAATTATGAAAACATAACAGATTTAAATCACTTCTTTGTTTACCTGTTCCATGGTGGCTCTTTCTGTCCCCTGCCAGCCACCGTAGGATAATTATTATCTTCCTTCTTTCTTTAATGCCAACTCTCCTCTGTGACAACTCTAAACCATTGGTTTTACAGAATGATCCTGAACTTTTGTCATTTTTTTCCCTTTAAAATGTAAAACGTTTAAAGCCATCCATGGTTTGACATCATCCAAATATTTCAGAAGAGATTCAACAGTTTTTGTTTCGCCTCAGCAGGAGATCTGACTATCGTCTGCTTTACGATCAGAAATATCAGCACTAAACTAAAACATGGTGACTGACCTCAATGTCTGTAGTTTGCAGAGGGGAGACTGGAGAAAACCACAGAGCTGCTTCACTCCACCATCTTCCAGGTTGTTGTTGATGCTCAGGTCCAGTTCTGTCAGATGGGAGGGGTTGGACTTCAGAGCTGAGCCCAGAGAAGCACAGCTGATCTCTGACAAACTGCAGTAATTCAATCTGAATAAAGAATAAAGACGTGTTGAAGCAACTGGAGAGACAGGTTAAAACTAAAATGATAAAAAAAATAATGAATGAAAATGTAGAGAAATAATTTGACTGAAAGCTTAAGTCCCAGAAAAATTATCAAGTTAAAGTAGTAAACCAAGCAGAACCAGAACATGTTCTAATGACGTGTGAAGGTCCAGAT